TTGAATGGATTTCATTCAAATTTTGTCTGTAACATCAGTGGGGGTTGGGAAATAATTCTCAAATTTAGAAATTGTTTATTAGACCCCTAGGGACTTAGGGGCGGGTCGAAAGAGGGGAAAGCAGACAATACTTTTCTATTCTTCACGCTTGGGTAGATTTCAACCAAATTTGGTGTGAAACAATATTTCAGGTGGGTTATGATTTTCTTAATTCAGAAAGTTGTTTCGACCCCTAGGGACTTGTTGGGGGTGAGGTCCAAAAGGGGAAATTAAATAATATTTTGCTTCAAAATGTTACTCTTTCTTAATCCTTAAATAGATTTCAACCAAATTTGGTCTGAAACATTATTGAGAGTGGTGAATTATTTCTTACATTCAGAAAGTTGATGCGACCCTTTGTACTTTGGGGGCGGATGGGGCCCCAAATGGGAAAGTTAGACAATATTTTGCTTCAAAATGCTACACCTTCTTTATGCCTTGGCAGATTTCAAACAAATTTGGCCTGAAACATTATCAGGGAGTGGCAATGATATCAAACATGACTGAAATGACCCTGAGATTGTCACGTTCAATTTTTCTTATGCTTTTGTCCAAAATCCAACATAGATCATTTTTTAATGAAATGACAGAAATGCTTTGTTGTTTTTTTTCAGCCTGGTCAATCATGGTAACCACAGTATTTATTTGGTAACATGATCTTGCACCTGTTCATGCACAGAACCTAACATTGATGAGTTTCTAATTCTTTCAAAGAAAGTTCAATTTTTGAATTCATCAGATATTTCAGATCACCATCAGCGAATTCTGTGGTTTGTCCATCCATTCATCCATTATCAGATGACGGTCAAGTGTCACGGCCCTCTTGTTTATTTTTATAATGGGGCGTACCAAGTATAGAAACACAGTGTAATTCATAATCTGACATCAAGCCTACTTCATGTAAAACAACAATACCGATATATCGAGGAATCGTAATTCAGTTCGAATTCGACAAAAAATGAACAACAGAAAAAATTACACGGAGACTCCAGCAAAGTACAAGTATAATAAAACCAGGTATTCTGGAAACACCTACAGTCGAACCTCGTTATCTCGAAGACGGCCGAACCATAGAAATTAGTTCGAATTGACGAATATTAAATGAAAGTAAGTTAAAATGATTTGTATGAAGCTGGCCGTGACCGATGAAATACTTCGAATAAATCGATGTCTTTAAGTTTTAAGAGTTCGAGATAACAAGATTTGACAGTATATAAAGCCTTCAAAGTTAAATACATACAAAACAATACTAAGTTTAATACACATTTACAAAATCGAAACTTTCTATTAATAGCATCAAAATACTACCATAGTTCTATATTCATTAATCTATAGTATCGTTGTAGAAAACAAATAAAATGTTTGTCCAGTTTCCAATGCAGCTTGAGAGAAAATCAAAGTGCATGGACTTGCCCCAATTTTTTACGGGATTTGAAAGAAATTAGCGTTCAAAATGTATTGTAATATGCACCAGATGAACCCAGTATGAAAGTGCGATGAATTGGTTCAATTTTTGACGCATTATTGAAAACGCTTCTCCTTTCAGAATCATTATAAAGATCTTAATTAAAATGGAATTGGACGACAGACAAAGCCTATGAAAGCCCGGTCATTGAAAAACTAAACACAATACACATCAACTTAGTTTTAGAAGCACACAAAGATAAATCTAGATAGCAACACAACAGTTATAATATAGTATGTAATTATGAAATATGATAGATAAAATGTGATTACTAAACCAATTGATCAGTATGCTACACTTGTTTGTTATAGTGTGTAACAGCTACCACAAACACCAGTCCTTTCTTCACACTTGATCAGTAGATCAGCACGGACAAGCTGTCCATAACATTCTTCATTCTGTGACGATCCATACCAGACGGTTGATGAATAGACCAAGATGTTTCAATATAGATACAAAAGTAATTATATAATAAAATCGATTTGGATCACTTATGAATCTCTGAACTAATTCCACATTATATAGAAATTGGTGTCATCCAGATAAAACAGCCATGTAGAAAGTTTGGACAGTAGGTGGAATATTATTTTTATAATTATTACATTCTTACCGGCCCGTCAACACATAAAAGTTCATTAGTTCATCAAACGGTAAAACACACAGCGATCCAAAAGGAAATAACATTAAACAAACCAAAAGGTAAAAGACAAATGTTAAAAATCTTAAATGGGTATGTTAACACAAAAGATTAAAATGCTACGTCATATTCTATTATATAGACCAACATCTTTCAGGTAATGTAGAATTTTAAAAATCTCAACAGTTTCAAAAATGGTTTTTAGACAGCATCACTACCAGCAGAAAGGAAGACAAAAAGAAGACGACTTTATAATTACATACACAAAATACTTCACAGGTAACATTTAAGTGAACATGTAAACTAGTAGGAAATGTTTCAGATGTGCGGTATAAAAGCTGACATATTAAGTAAAAAGCCTCGACTTCTGCAGTTAGTTTTAGTTAATATCACCTTATCTATTAATATTCTGAAGGATAATAAGACAGATTCATAAGTCTTCTATGACGTAGCGGAGACTTGATAAATGTAGGTACTAACGTCATTTCTTAATATCACGACTCCCAAAGTATAATAATTATTTCTCGATTACCGGAATATATACAAACATGAGCAGACTTTTTACAAGGATATCACTTAGTATCCTTTTAAACTTTAATATAGAAAGAACATCATTAATATCAGGATTATATTCTAAAGCATTTATATAACACAGATTAAATAAAACCATTAAAATTAATATACAGTCCTTCAAACGCAGAATGGAATATTCTGTCTAAGATGCATTATATTATCCTATTGTCCTAGCATGATGGAATATTCTGTCTAAGATGCATTATACTATTTACAGTACTGTCCTAGCAGGATGGAATATTCTGTCTAAGAGGCATTATATTATCCTATTGTCCTAGCAGGATGGAATATTCTGTCTAAGATGCATTATATTATCCTATTGTCCTAGCAGGATGGAATATTCTGTCTAAAAAAGGCATTATATTATTTACAGTACTGTCCTAGCAGGATGGAATATTCTAAGATGCATTATACTATTTACAGTACTGTCCTAGCAGGATGGAATATTCTGTCTAAGATGCATTATACTATTTACAGTACTGTCCTAGCAGGATGGAATATTCTGTCTAAGATGCATTATATTATCCTATTGCATTATATTATATTATCCTATTGTCCTAGCAGGATGGAATATTCTGTCTAAAAAAGGCATTATATTATTTGCAGTAGTACTGTCCTAGCAGGATGGAATATTCTGTCTAAGATGCATTATACTATTTACAGTACTGTCCTAGCAGGATGGAATATTCTGTCTAAGATGCATTATATTATCCTATTGTCCTAGCAGGATGGACTATTCTGTCTAAGATGCATTATATTATCCTATTGTCCTAGCAGGATGGAATATTCTGTCTAAGATGCATTATATTATCCTATTGTCCTAGTATGATGGAATATTCTGTCTAAGATGCATTATACTATTTACAGTACTGTCCTAGCATGATGGAATATTCTGTCTAAGATGCATTATATATTTACTATTCCTAGCAGGATGGAATATTCTGTCCTAGTCCTAGCAGGATGGAATATTCTGTCTAAGATGCATCATTATATTATCCTATTGTCCTAGCAGGATGGAATATTCTGTCTAAGATGCATTATATTATCCTATTGTCCTAGCAGGATGGAATATTCTGTCTAAGATGCATTATATTATCCTATTGTCCTAGCATGATGGAATATTCTGTCTAAGATGCATTATATTATCCTATTGTCCTAGCAGGATGGAATATTCTGTCTAAGATGCATTATACTATTTACAGTACTGTCCTAGCAGGATGGAATATTCTGTCTAAGATGCATTATACTATTTACAGTACTGTCCTAGCAGGATGGAATATACTAAGATGCTATATATTATATTTCCAGAATAGATGTTGGTTAAAGTTTTAACATATTAAGTACGTTTCACATTAACTTTTTATGTTTCGGTAGTATTTGACCAATCATATCACAGTATTTACGGATCCAGAGAAGTGGAGATAACATTCGCTTTATTATCATAAGATGATCCCGGACAATCGGAATTATACAATTAAAAAATTGCGTGTGTTGTACATTAAACATGGAGAATATATCAACATGCCAACACAGTTATGATTCAAAATCAAATTCCGTCAAACAGGAGCAAAAATATGAACAGAAGACTTAACAGAGAGACTCCTGAAAAAGTACAAGGAAAATAAGACCAGGTGTTCCAGGAGAGTAAGCGTCTTCTGCTTTATCGACGACACCCGTCATTTAAACCTTGGTCAATCCAAGTAAGTTATGTCACGTTCGCAAATGAGAACAATTTATACAACAATGGAACCAAGAGACAAAGTAACGAGCATTTAATACGTCCAGTTTCATGTCGGACAAAGAAATAGAATATTTCTCAATGAAATCACTATTGCGACCATAAAACTTTCTCATATTTTTCATCAACTTGCATCTTTTGAACCCTTTTGTTACGAGTTTGTCAGTCAGTTGACGATTTCTTGCACGAAAATCGTGATAATGAGAACAGGCCATTGAATATCGAACCAATTGATATTGGTATATAAATACCTTAGGTTGGAGATGCAGAGTTATTGCTTTCCAACAATGGAAAATTCACAATAGGGAAATTGAAACCATCACGTTTATCATACAGCTTGATAGAAATTTGTCCATTTCGTAGATGCATTGTATATACTTATATTATTTTGGATTATTTAAAGGTTTGTGGATGAAATATTGAGTTTGTTTTAATATCCAGACTAAAAATCTTACTTAAATGTTTCAGTGATAGCAAAATTGATGTAGCATGCTCATTCACATTATAAAATTCAAGGACACAATAAAATGTACACTCGATCAGATATCTTATGTTCCCTGACGTTTTACGAGCATCTTTGTTGTCATCATCTGGGGATATTGAATATTGGGATAGAACCAGTCCCAGATCAAGGATTGGAAATTATCTGTGCCATTCTGGTATTCTCTGCCGTTTAAATTGCAGTCATAGCAGCTTTTGTACCACCAAGCGCCCTTGTACGTGTCAGCACAGTTTGAAGAACTCATATCATTATCCCTTTCATAGGTGGAGAAAGCCATACCGTTATGAAGGGCCATAGCATCATCTGACAAGTAAATAATACTTTCATAACAACAGCAATCGACATAACGAAAATACACGATCAAGTACAGTGGAACGTCCTTACCTCGAACTAGTAAAAAAAACTCGCAGACCCCGTTTAATTCGAATCATTTTGTCGGTCCCTGGGTAACATTTCATTTAACATTCAAACTCACAGAAGTATAATACTCGGTCCCTCCGAGTTCGAGATAATGAGGTTCCACTGCAGATAAGTTTTACCCTGAAAGTGATGATATGTTAGAAAAGTGGTCATGTTGTAGTAGATGATGGTTGCCACATGGAACTGTATATGCGTGTCCCGTCCATACCGTACTGCACACTGCATATACAAATATACTAACGGAAAAAAGAAACGCAAGTTTTTGTCCGGTAGTAAATATTTCAAATGTTTTATGGATGACCATATCATTGTTAAGATGTTTATATTAATTCCTCATTACTGATTCAAATTTGATAAGTTCTGTTGTCTTAACACAGACGGCGTTGGCATGGATAGCGTTTAAACGTGGTACCCTACGCCATTTCCTGATCAAAATCAATAGCGGGTGTGCCCACCTCGAGCTGCAGTCGCTGCTCCAACTCTCCTTACCATTGACCCCATCAAATTGTCTATGGTCCTTTGTGGGATGTTATTCCACTACTGAAGAAGGGCCTGCGTGAGCTGAGCGACGTTGTTTGGGACGTTGACGCGCTTACTGAGCCTCCTGTCCAGCTCGTCCCACAAATGCTCGATCGAGGACAGATCTGGACTGTAGGGTGGCCAGTCGAATATTTGGACATTGTTTTGGTTGAGGAAGTTACGACACATCCTAGCAACGTGCGGCCTCGCATTATCCTGCTGCAACGTAAAGTTTCGCGCTTGGATTGATTGAAGGACATGAGGAATGAGGACCTGATCCCGATATCGGACAGCTGTAAGATTGCCTTGGAGGATCACGAGAGGTGTTTTCACGCCATGAGAACTCCTCGCCCAAACCATAACAGACCCTTCCCCCGAATCTGTGGTTTTCTTTAACGCATGCGTCAAAATATCGCTCACCGCGACGTCGATAGCAACGTTTTCGTCCACCTGAACTGTACAACGTGAACCGAGACTCGTCTGTGAATAACACACATCTCCAGCGGGCAAAGCAAAATCGATTTGGTGCATGTGCACGCAGCCATTGCATTCGACGTTGACGTCGCCTGGGTGTAAGTTGCGGACCAACGTAGGGACGTCGTGGCCTTAAATTGAACTCCCGCAACCGATTCCTAACTGTTCTTGGACACACACGGCGACCATGAGTGCTTACAGTATGACTTGCCGTCTCCGTCGTTGTCTGAAATCGGTTACGTAGGTGTGACAGACGTATGCCCTGATCTTGACGTGGCGTCGTAACGCGAGGACGTCCGCTCCTGGGATGGTCAGCTAATCTTCCCGTGGCCCAGAGACGCCCAACTAATCCAGCTATCGTTGACCCATGGACTCCAAATTGCTGACGACGAGACGTTGCGATTGGTCCTGTAGAATTCGGGCAATAGCCCTACCCCTATCAATTTCGGACATTCGCGGCATGCTGCTTTTTAATCGCCTTGGAGTGAAATGTTGTGCACTGGATGTGTGCTGTTCAAAACTTGGATTTGGTATGGTTTTCAAGTTGATAGCACGTGTAGTGCTACGGACGCACGCTTTGTTGGAAAATCTGTTCAAATCACGAATTTAAACCGATGATTATTTAGACAGTACACTGAAGGTATTTATGGGTCACATTTCACAACATTTGGTCTACGGATAAAAAAGTTATATTACCAAAACTGAACTTGCGTTTGTTTTTTCCGCTAGCATATATGACAAGTAGACCTGCCGCAGTGCAAAACATTTTGATATCAACATAATAAGTATGGAAATTCTTTTTAAACAGTAAACGTAGTCAAAATTTTAGAACATCAACATGAACGCTGTCGGTACGATAACGAGATATGACTTACAATTATGGTCTTTTTGTCCACCATTATTAGGCCCTAGTGACCATTCTCTGTCTTGATGGACAGTCAAGAATATAATAAGCGTTGGAATGATCTATAGCCATGCCCACTACCAAAGACAGAACTGAAGCGAAGTTGGCATGGACAAATAAACGATTATGTTAAATCACGATAGCGGTATCTCAGAGTGCACATCGCGCCAGTCATGGTATGATCTTAATATTTTCTACTTCCTCTTTCTCCATGGTCGACTGATTTTCCCTAACAACAATAATATAGAGAGACATGAGAAATCTACCTTGGGAATTGAAAATGATCCGCTCCATCCAGTAGCTAGAAATAGCGGTAACAAGTTTAAATTGTCACAATCAAAGATGGTCGCTTGGCGACCATGTTGTATTTCTGAAAAGTTCAAGAACCGACAATGCACATTTGGGGACCAGGTAAACGATGATGTAGTGTTTCTCAGATAATTACTGTAAATCGCTAATAATTCGAGTAAGAATTATTTTTGCGTTCATACGCGAGGAGAGTCAACCGCAAATTCAAATCCCGCGTTAATTATTTGAACTTATATAACCGATATCGGCGTCTCAAAGAGTCCAGTTGACAGTCTCAGCTTTTTGACCTTATCTCGAGGTGTTGAGCTTAGATGTTGTGGATATCGATTTATTGACGCTGAGTTTGAGTTTTTGAGTTCGTACTCAAATCTCAGTTGAAGTCAGTCCCAAGAACGTTTGTGATTCCAAAGCCAGCTCTCTGATACAGGTGGCTTATTATTCGCGAATTTAAAATCATTTTTAGATCAGCGTTCGCGAGATCATGCATTCATTAATATGTCTGAAGAGGTAAGTTCGCGAAATTTAAGTGATTTGCAGTAGTTATAATAATCAAATTCACAGTTCATCCATTTTCTGTCATTTTATGATCAAACGTGAAAACAATCACACCTGGGAAACCTATTGATGTTGTCGGAGAATGATAATCAGGTGCTTCTCAAGACAAAAAGTATTACAAGGATAGCTTAAGGACAGACGAAAGAAGAACCATGAACAAAGAATGATTGATTGTTATAAAGATAGGATATCCGTGTATTGTTCAAGGATTCTGTGTCTCTACATATACTTACAATTGGCATTCCCTGAGAATCCGGACACAGTCAGTCTATACTTGTTTACTTCGTTTTCTACTTTGAATGTGGAGTATTGTGCGTACCGGGCGTCACCATACCAGGAGGTAGCTTCTACACGGAGGATAGAAGGTGTCAGGGTCAGGTTGCTGATATTATCGTTACCTGGAAATCATATTCAGCTTACATTGTTTTTTAATAATCATAATTCATAGTACAACATGTTTTTGTATAGTGAGAGGAAAAAGAAACGCAATTAGGAATTTCCAGGTCAACTACGGGAAATAGAAAAGGGTTTTAGAATGTAATTATGGTGTAACTTGAAGATAGTTGACCACTCCGTCATCTACGAGAATTTCATTCGTGTACGTTGATTCAAGAGTACCCCACTCGAAATGAAGTGCGTTCTGGACCCATCAATATCGTGTGTGCCCCCCGCGAGCTGTAGTAACTGCACGAACTCTTTTGTGCATTGAATTGATCAGGGTAAAAACCCTCCACATTGGTATACGATTCCATTCCTCATCCAACGCCAACGCCAACTGAGCGACGTTGATTGGAGGATTCGGCCTACGTCTTATCCTTCTGTTCAACTCGTCCCATAAATGTTCTATTGGGGAGAGATCAGGGCTGTATGGGGGCCAGTCTAGGGTGGGGACATTGTTTGCTGCGAGATAACCACGGCGAACTCTCGCTACATGCGGCCGGACGTTGTCCTGTTGAAACGTCAGTTGACGCTGCTGTACTAGAGGAACAACATGCGGCAATAGGACTTGATCTTTATAGCGGACGGCCGTTAGATTTCCTTGAATAACGACCAGAGGAGTCATGATACCATGCGCAATCCCTCCCCATACCATGACCGATCCTCCTCCAGAGTGGTCATTCTCTATCACGCAAGCATCTGCATAGCGCTCGTGGGTACGTCTACAGACACGACGTCGACCGTCTGCCCGGTAAAGCGAAAACCTTGACTCATCTGAGAACAGGACCCTTCTACAATGTTGCATTGGGAAGCCTCTAACGGAATGTGCGTTCAGCCATTGCATTCGTCCGGCACGTCGCCGCGCATTAAGCTGCGTTCAACAAATGGCCGCCGCGGTCTTAGACCGAAGGCACGCAGTCGAGTACGCACTGTCTTTGGATCAATTGGAACATGATGACGCCCAATTGTGTTCCTTGCTGTTTCCGTGGCCGTCAGAACGCGGTTGCGTAGGTGCGAAAGTCGCATAGCCCTATCCTGCCGACGCGTCGTCACACGAGGGCGACCACTTCGGGGACGGTCTGCAATCCTTCCGGTGGCATGTAGTCTTTGGATGAGACGTCAAATGTTCGATGGATGGAATCCAAATTGATAAGCGACCTGATTTTGCGGGGTACCTTGAATAAAAAGTGCAATTGCACGACCCCTGTCAACTTCGGACAGTCGTGGCATTTTTACGGTGAACTGTTTATACGTAAAATGTGAGAAATCAAGATGGATATGTCTGAAGATTCGAACACACAGATTTTGAACCAATCCCTTATACTGTGTTCGAGATATCGTGCTTTTGTCTCTTATTCTTTTGTACAAGCGGCGTGCGCAGTTTAGTTATGCATCAGTGATTTTAATACGGTACCATAGGGACCTAACTCAAATGCGCACAAGTTTCAAGGGCGCACGTCAAGGATTTAATTTACAATATTAACTTTCTGCTAATTGCGTTTCTTTTTCTACTCAGTATATGATGTTGTCACGAAATTTCAGCATAGTTTGGTCTCTCTTCCATCAGGCAGCCGCCAAATGATGATGTATTTAACCTGTCTAGCTACAGTACTAGTGACAGTATGGCGACAGCACCGTTAATATATATATATACCAGTCGGTGTTGAAATGGAGCTGCGACAAAGTCTTGTGTTTGGGCACAGTGCTTACAGAACGTTGAGAAGTTTCACTTCTCAAAGGTTTTCTTTTCCGTCTTCATCCATAATTGTTAAAACACACAGGTATATATTGCTACGAAGAGTTTATAATTATAGGCAACGAGCGATCTACTCCGGTATATTGTGGTCGTTGGAAACACTTGTTTTAGCAGTTTCTATTTACTCTTTAGGTATGTGTTATTGTTATTATTGGTGTCATTTGGCCGGACTCTGCCTCCACTATTTTACCTTTTTGTGGGAAGAAACGTGATAGTGTGTGTTTGTTTGTATGTGTTACTTTATTGATGTGCAACATTTTGACAGTGAGCTTTCCGCTCGGAACCCCCGGGATACACAACTGCCTTCCCTGTATGTGTGAACTATTTTTACAGATGTATATACGGGGATGGGGCACAGAGGAGGACAAATCAAACCTAATGCGATGTCAGTATGCACCACTGAATGATGAATGGGCCCGAATCTCCAAATCCTACACCATCCCATTTGCAATTTAATGTTTAGTATTTTGTTTTGTAGAAATCTGCTATTTTCAACTACCTAATTATCATCTGAAACCTAAATTGGAGCGTACCCGGAAAGTAGGGGGTACCTAATTAGTGTAAATGTCTCGGTTAACAAGGGACAACGTTTTCTCGATCTAGATCTTAATGGAGTGTTTAGAGATCTGTATAGAATCAATCAATAAATAATACAGATAGTAATGAAAATATACATACCTAGCCAGAAATTCCCTTTAAGATTTCCAAATCCGGTTTTATAGGAAGCCCAGGACCTGAAAAAATTCTCCTCGCCACTCTGTCTGTTTTGTATCACCTGTAAACGTAAAATGTAGTGTCAACAAGTGGTACTACCTGTTGGTGGTACACAATGCTGTTGGTACACACTGTTGGTGATACACACTATTGGTGGTAAACACTGTTGGTGGTACACACTGTTGGTGGTACACATTGTTGGTGGTACACACTGTTGGTGGTACACAATGTTGGTGGTACACACTGTTGGTGGTACACACTGTTGGTGATACACACTATTGGTGGTAAACACTGTTGGTGGTACACAATGTTGGTGGTACACACTGTTGGTGATACACACTGTTGGTGGTAAACACTGTTGGTGGTATGCACTGTTGGTGGTACACACTTGTGGTGGTACACACTGTTTGTTGTACACACTGTTGGTGGTACACACTGTTGGCGGTACACACTGTTGGTGATACACACTGTTGGTGGTAAACACTGTTGGTGGTACACACTATTGGTGGTTAACACTGTTGGTGGTACGCACTGTTGGTGGTACACACTGTTGGCGGTACAAACTGCTAATGGTACACACTGTTAGTGGTACACACTACTAGTGGTACACACTGTTAGTGGTACAAACTGCTGGTGGTACACACTACTGGTGGTACACACTGTTATTGATACAAACTGTCGGTGGTACACACTGTTAGTGGTACACACTACTGGTGACACACACTGCTAGTGGTACACACTACTGGTGGTACACACTGTTAGTGGTACACACTACTGGTGGTACGCACTACTGGTGGTACACACTGTTAGTGGTACAAACTGCTGGTGGTACACACTGCTGGTGGTACACACTACTGGCGGTACACACTACTGGTGGTACACACTGCTGGTGGTACACACTACTGGTGGTACACACTGTTAGTGGTACACACTACTGGTGGTATACACTGTTAATGGTACACACTACTGGTGGTACACACTGTTGATGGTACACACTACTGGTGTTACACACTGTTGATGGTACACACTGCTGGTGGTACACACTACTGGTGGTACACACTGTTAGTGGTACACACTACTGGTGGTACACACTGTTGATGGTACACATTACTGGTGGTACACACTGTTGATGGTACACACTACTGGTAGTACACACTACTGGTGGTACACACTGTTGATGGTACACACTACTGGTGGTACACACGGTTGATGGTACACACTACTGGTGGTACACACTGTTGATGGTACACACTACTGGTGGTACACACTACTGGTAGTACACACTACTGGTGGTACACACTACTGGTGGTACACACTACTGGTGGTACACACTGTTGATGGTACACACTACTGGTGGTACACACTGTCGATTGTACACACTACTGGTGGTACACACTGTTAGTGGTACACACTACTGGTGGTACACACTACTGGTAGTACACACTACTGGTGGTACACACTGTTAGTGGTACACACTACTGGTGGTACACACTGTTAGTGGTACACACTACTGGTGGTACACACTACTGGTGGTACACACTGTTGATGGTACACACTACTGGTGGTACACACTACTGGTGGGGTACACACTACTGGTGGTACACACTACTGGTGGTACACACTGTTGATGGTACACACTACTGGTGTTACACACTGTCGATGGTACACACTACTGGTGGTACACACTGTTAGTGGTACACACTGTTAGTGGTACACACTACTGGTGGTACACACTACTGGTAGTACACACTACTGGTGGTACACACTACTGGTGGTACACACTGTTAGTGGTACACACTACTGGTGGTACACACTACTGGTAGTACACACTACTGGTGGTACACACTACTGGTGGTACACACTGTTAGTGGTACACACTACTGGTGGTACACACTACTGGTGGTACACACTGTTAGTGGTGCACGCTGATGATAGACATTTTTCCCAGATGCTTTACACAACAAGTATGCCACTTGTTAATTGGTTTGAATTCTCTCATATTTGATGTTATTCTGAAAATATATGAAAATTATGAAATTGATGGAAGTATGATCCTTGTCAAAATACCCACCTAAATTTTGACTTTTCTTCCCATCGCAATGGATTTTTCTCTGTCGCCTCCTAAGCTTCACAATTGATGCTTTTATCATCACTTACGAGTCCTAGATGGGCGAAACAGCTGTATGTTTAGTGTACTTCATTGTCTGGCTCTACTGTACTCTTGATTAACTCTTGATTTTATATTTGAAATATGCGATTCACTCGTGTGTCTTGTTCAATCTTTGTGTAATTTCGATGTTCTGTAATTTCGCCGAAGTTTAGTTGGACTCGATGTTCTAGTATCATGTATTAATATGGTTTTACACATTAAAGAAAAGTGTTTGATGTATAGCGTTTAACGTCCTTTCAACAGCCAGGAACAGTTAATGACGATCTCCGATGGATACGAGATGAGTCCGGGCATTGAATGAGTGATGAGATATAGGCGTTCGCTTCTGCTGTTAATTCTGAAGGGTAATGCTATGTACACTTCGTGATAATGTCAATGACTACTTATTATCAACTTTTATATATCATGGTAAGGTTGACGGTACAGTTGTAATTTGTCTTGTATTGTATTGTGTTGTGTTGTGTTGTACTGTATTATAATGTATCATATTGTATATTACATTGGATTCTATTTGTATTGTAATGTATTGTATTGTATTGTATTGTATTGCATCGTATCGTATTGTATTGTATCGTATTGTATTGTGTTGTCTTTTAAGCGTAAACCCCAAAATGGTTTAAAAGTCTATACACTTGATCCAAAGACCAATCCCGGGACCAAGAAGGGAGGTAACCTACCGTCCAGGTTCCGTTGACTGTGTCAAAGTCACAGTACACATCGAAGCTGACTCCAGGTGAAGGCGTGATTCGGTAGACACCTGAACAATAGATGGACGGGTCCATTTCACTGCAGTCCGCCAGATTGACTGGTGCTAAAACATCAGTTTAAAGAGGAATTTCAAATTATGTATAATATATATTAACACTGATATTTAATTGTCGTTCCTACAGACATTTACCGTGTGTAGATGTAAACTGTTTTAGATATGAGCCGTTTTATCTCAGATATCTATTCATCCATGAATAAAGAAAAGTCACTTTAATCTAGATTTGATTTATTGTTTTGACCTTTAAGTCACAATAATAATCTACACACTATAAACTATCATGTATAATATAAAGAAAGGCTTACATGGTGACTACTGAAAAGTACAAGGAGAATAAGACCATGTGTTCCAAAAGAGTAAGCATTTTCTGCTTCATTAACGACACCCGCCATGTAAACATTGATAAATCCAAGTAAGTAATGTTACGTTATGGAGCTTTTCAATGTCTATTTGGTTTTTTTTTCAAATTATGTGTGTCCTGGTTAGATGTGCAGTTATGACCGTGCTACAGTGACAACATAGGTAAGCCTGGCTCATGAGGTTTGGACACTGTCTTCATAATCATGAACTGGACCGCTGTTGTGCCGTGATATGCAGTATGACATTTCAGTAAATATGATCTTAAAATCAGTCAGACCCTATATGATATACAAGTAAGTAGATATAAAGTGAGGCAAGTTTTTTTTTCCAAACCAAATAGTCGTTTTAACATACATATACTCAACGGATAAAGAAACGTAGGGTAAACTTTGAAAGTGATTCTAGGCAAGACGTCGAGAATGATGTTCAATATTTGTAAGTAAGAATGAAGATTAATCCATACAGAACAAACTGCAAAATCAACGATTTATATCTGTTAAGTGATTTAGGAGTAATTGAAGGAAGGTGAAAGAGAACTCTTTAATCTGAAATCAACTGATTATGGGAGTTGGCAAGTCAATATCGGGTATATCCCCTATTCACTCTTTCCACAGCCCTGATTCTCCTGGGCATGGAGTCCGTGATGGAGTTTATCCTCCTCATTGGGATGTTGGCCAATTCTTCCAAGAGAGCTGCTCTTAGTTGAGCACAGGGAAAACCCGGTGTCGTCGAACCTGTCTACCTAGCTGGTCCCACAGTTGTTCAATAGGGGAAAGGTCGGGGCTGTATGGCGGCCAGTCCAGTGAGTGGATATTGTTTTAGTGAGAAAGTCGCGACAGATCGTCGCTACATAGGGCCGAGCATTATCCTGCTGGAATGTGAGGTTGTTTTATTTCAAGAATGGGACAACATGGGGTCGGAGGATCTCATCTCTATACCTAGCGGCAGTTAGATGACCCGCCTCCACTACCTCAATGGGAATATTCTGGGGGCATGTGCCGCCATCCAAACCATACGACGCTGGCGACAAGCAGTGGTAAGGGGCAGACCTACATCCGGGTGACGTGCCAGCAGATAATCTTCCCGAATCGTTTCCTTACAAGTTTTGCATGGATAGGGCGGTTATGAAGGGCAGATTCAGTGGCAGTAAGGTGCTGATGGCGCAAATGCGCGAGACGAATAAACCGGCCCTGACGTTGTGACGTCACGCGCGGACGCCCAGACCTAGGTCTGACAGCAACCCGCCTAGTTTCCCTTAAACATTGACTTTGCATAAACATTGCAATGGCCTGACCTCTCTGAACTCCCGTCAGCTATGCCATGGTTTAATGCTATCAGAAATTAATCAAAATATCGGAAAATGATGTGTCTCTAAGAAGACTTCTTAATTTTCCCGTTTCGTGCTTTCCGCGGAAGACATCGTCATGCAATACAGTAATGCAACATTCGGTACAGTAATATAGAGAGTTGCTTGACTGATTTTCATTGGTTTTGAACAACGCAAATAATGTCAGGATGCGTTTCTATATATATACAATTATATATATCTAATTAGATTCATGTTGATTTCGATATCTGTATCTGTTCTACATATGTCTAGTCTCAATTACAGAAATCCCACTTAATTACACTGTAACAATATACTCACCCTATAGATATATCAGATAGTTGCTATGCAATGTCGAATCACATTTGCATTCGATATATTTTCTTTTTGTAAATTCATACTTCCAAAACAAGTCGTGTCAGATTTCTATCAATAAAAATGTGTGACTTTGCTGACGTTTCGCCCTTTCAATAATTCTACCTTATTTAGTCACATTTTATCTACAATAACGTGGTCTAATCATGTTTTTTATCACTTTGCGTGGTTCCGGCCACTTTGTCTTACCTATACATAGTACCTGTGGTACCGGACGCCGTGTCTGTCTTACGCATACTTAGTACCTGTGGTTCCGGACGCCGTGTCTGTCTTACGTATACTTAGTACCTGTAGTACCGGACGCCGTGTCTGACTAACCTTAACATAGTACCTGTGGTACCGGACGCCGTGTCTGTCTTACGTATACTTAGTACCTGTAGTACCGGACGCCGTGTCTGTCTTACCTAAACATAGTACCTGTTGTACCGGACGCCGTGTCTGTCTTACGTATACTTAGTACCTGTTGTACCGGACGCCATGTCAGTCCTACCTATACATAGTACTTGCGTGGTTCCGGCCACTTTGTCTGTCTTACGTATACTTAGTACCTGTGGTACCGGAAGCCATGTCAGTCTTACCTATACATAATACCTGTGGTACCGGACGCCGTGTCTGTCTTACGTATACTTAGTACCTGTGGTACCGGACGCCGTGTCTGTCATACCTATACATAGTACCTACATGGTACCGACCGTCTTGTCTGTCTTACCGGTACGTTCTAACTATCTTACACCAGCCGCTATGTCGGCCCTACTTTTAAGTTGTATATTTGTAATACCGGACGCTGTGTCTGTCTTACTTATAGATACTCTGATATTTTGGTCTTAAACTACATATTTTGTCGGAGCTCTTTATACCGGGGATATAGGAAGAATGTTTGAGGGGGAAGTGCTTCTACAGGGATTGGGGAACGGGATTTTTTTTCAAGTTTTGTTTCAAAAGCGTCATTCATTATTGTAGTGAATACATTATTCTCATGATCAGTGCACCGTTTGAAAATGGGTAGGATACGAATTGGAAGTTTGAATTGCCGAGGTCTTGCCAGGGATTTAGATAACAGACGGGACATTTTCCATAGATGTGATCAAAATACGATTTTACAATACTAACTGATACACATAGCGACACAAATACGGAAACGCTGTGGAGGAATGAATGGGAAGGTGATATATGGTTTGCGTCGTTTTCATCAGATAGTAGGGGTATTGCAATTCTTTTTAAAAATTCTTTTGAATACACTGTGGAAGTTGATTACAAGGACCCATTTGGGAATTTTTATTATTGAATATGATTGTACAAAATGTTAGATTAACCCTAGGTGGAATATACGGTCCAAATGATGACTCGTCAGCGTTTTTCACAAATTTAAAAAATAGACTAGAAGCTATTGGAAATGATACCATAAATATTGCGGGTGACTGGAACGTCGCACTAGAATATCAAGTAGATACTGTTAATTATCGTAATCGCAATAATACTATAGCAAATATTGAAATCCATAATAGGATTCAAAATCTAATTCTAGTCGATGTTTGGCGGGAATTTAATCCAGATGATAGAAAATATACATGGTTTGGTCCAAATGGTAAAAAATGTCGCCTCGATTATTATTTGGTTTCTTCTGATCTACAGAACAATATTCCTTCAACAGGTATGGACATTGCTTATAAATCAGATCACTCACCTGTCAGTATTGAATTGGAATTTGTGAAACAGCAGCGCGGGCGAGGGACATGGAAATTTAATAATAGCTTACTTGGGGATCCAGAATATGTAAATTTAATTAAGAATACGATCACAGACATGATAGTGCAATACAGAGTGGATGGAAAAACGATTTAGAAAATACAGAATTTAATATAAGCGACAAATTATTTTGTGAAACTCTAAAATTAATAATAAGGGAAAAGACAATTAGCTATTCATCTTTTAAGAAGAGGGAACGTGAAAAAGAGGAAAACGATTTGGAAAATGGACTGAATAATTTGTACAGTAGATACCAGTTACAGAATGATGAAAACTTACTTGGGGATATTTCAGAAACAGAGGGAAAATTAAAGGTATTAACGGATAAGAAAATTAAAGGGATAATTACAAGGGCAAGGGTTAGGTGGAAGGTTGAGGAAGGAAAAAAACACAAAATGTTTCTGTAATCTTGAAAAACGACAATACAATGAAAAAATTATTCCAAAAATAATAATGAACAATGAAAAAGAAATTAACGATCTTCATGAAATACTTATTGAACAATCAGCTTTCTATTCAAACTTTTATAACGCGAAAGGAACACTTTTTAATGAATTTCATCAAGAATTGTTTTTTAATGAAAATAATCCGTTTATTACTAATTTTACGGATGAGCAAAGTAATTCTATAAATGGTCCACTCAAAGTTGAAGAATGCTTAAAAATTATAAAAAAAAACATGAATAATGGAAAATCTCCAGGTTTAGACGGATTCACGGTAGAGTTTCATAAAAAAATTTTGGTTGGATTTAAAATATTTTTTGATAAGATCCATTAATCAATCATTTAGGGATCAAGAAATGTCAATTAGTCAGTGTAGGGGTTTAATTAAATGTATTCCGAAACAGGGGAAATCGAAGTTATATTTTAAAAATTGGAGACCCATTACCTTATCAAATGTTGATTATGAAATAGCATCGGCGTGTATTGCGAATTGAATTAAACAAGCTTTAGTGGATATCATAAGTCAAAGTCAGGCGGGTTTTGTCAAAGGTCGTTACATAGGGGGATGCACTAGGATAATTAGTGATTTAATAGAAAAGACGGGAAAATATAATCAATCGGGTATCTTACTGACGTTAGACTTTGAAACAGCATTCGATTCTATTGAGTGGCCATTCATAGAAAAACTTGCGTTTTTTTGGTTTTAATCATTTTGTTATCAACTGTTTTAAAACTTTATACTCGGATATATCAGCCTCTGTTGAAAACAATGGTCACCTC